ATCGTTGGTATCAGTTTCCACCATGAATTGAAAGGCGTAGTATGTAGAGAGGGTGTCTCTAAAGTCTTAGTATAGTTTTAAGCTATTATAGATGTATATGTGTGTGTATACATATACACATACTATATGTGTGTATTTATATGTGTATGTATATATGTATAAAAAGCGCATACATATATTTGTTGTTGTTTAGTCATTTTTCAGTCATGTCCAATTCTTTGTGACCCTTTTGGGGTTTTCTTGGCAAAGATGCTGGAGTGATTTGCTGTTTTCTTCTCTAGCACATTTTATAGATGATGAAATTGAGACAAACAAGGTTAAGTCATTTACCCAGGGTCATACAGCTAGTGTCAAATTTGAACTTAGGAAGAGGAGTCGTCCTGTCTCCAGGCCCAACACTATATCCACTGTGCAACCTAGCTGCCCATACATACATGTATATGCATACATACATAAACATGCATATATGGAATACATATATTATACATTTATGTGTATATGTGTATGCATATACACACACTTTCCTTTTGTATGAAGGTGGATGAGTTACAAGCACACAGGAATTTAAAAGGGACGATTAAATTTAGTATTTCTTTTAAAGTTTGCCTGCAATACCCGATTGATGGAGAATAAAACTTGTGTACTTGAAAAGCTTTTACTGGGTTTGCATCAATTAAAAAAAAATCCATCTCCCGACTTCAGTTATGATATTCTCAGCTGTTTTGAGTCTGGTGATAAGCCCAGTTGCATACAAAGTCTGTGATTGGGAGAGAGGGTTCAGGCCAACAGAGAGGAATGCCTCTGAAGGTTTATTCGCTGGGTGGAGGAGGCCTTCTTTCAGCCAGCCTTGGACAGAGGGGAGGGAGATGGAAGTCCTGGAAAGCCAAGCAGGTTAGGTTTTGTTTTTATCTTTGGCCAGAGCTGGGATTTCACCAGTGTAGGCTTAGCACCTGGCCTTTGCTCTGTAACGTAGAATCTTAGAGCTGGAGTTTTTAACCTGGAGCCTGTGTACTTTTTTTTCCCTCAAATATTTTGGTAACTATATTTTAGTAGAATTGGTTTCCTTTGCAATCCCTGTGTCATTCATTTTATGCTGAAAACACCCTTCTGAGAAGGGATCCATAGGCTTCATCAGACTGCTAAGGGGGGGTCCTTGACACAAAAGAATGTTGGGAACTCCTGGGCCAGGCAGAACATCATGGAGTGGGACTGTGCTATTTACATATCTCTCAGGCTGTGCAGTTTCATTCTGGGACACGGGGAGGAGAAGAGGTTAGTTTCGGTGCAGGTGTCGCTTTGAAGTACTGTCAGCCTCTGCTCACTAGGTTCTGTGCAACTGGGCTCATTGTCACCAGACTCAAAACAGCTGAGAATCACACCTGAAGCTGGCTAGATGATTTTTTTAATTGATGCAAACCCAGTGAAAACTTTCCAAGTATACAAATTTTATTCTCCATTAATTTGGTATTGCACACAGACTTTCAAAGAAGTACTAGATTTAATTGTCTCTTTTAGATCTGCTTAATAGAGATTCACTGTTCTTTTGATGTTAATCTTGTGAAGTTGACTGGAAGTTGCTCTACTACTCAGTTGACATGATGGGTAACTTTTCCATGGATGGCAAAAGTAGGGGTGGTCTAGAGTTCTGTCTGCTATCTGTTTAAATGAAGAGCCCTGCAGTTTATCATTTATACAACTTGTACGTAGTTGTTTGCATGTTGTGTCCCCCGTTAGATTGTGAACTTCTTGAGGGCAGGGATTGGTTTTGCCTTTCATTGTAATGGTAGAGGCTGCCATGTCATTTGCACTTGGTAAATGCTTGTTATTTTGACTTGCAGTTAAGGTTCAAAGATTTTTGCTCCTGAGCTTATTTCAAGTGTCAGCCCAATATATGGGGACGATCCTCCACGCTGTTCTGGGCATTTCTTCACCGTTTGCCATTAGGACATCCATGAAGCCTTCCATCACTATCAAGATGATGTATATGTTTTAGGTAGTGGTGGAAGCAGAGTTGAAAATAGTTAAATGGTGTAGGAGCAAGTTATCCAGGATGGAAGAGAAATTCGTGCCTTCATTGTTACTGAAAAATTTTGCTCAATTTCATCCCTTTGGGACATGACTGAAAAGTTGTACAGGCATATATTCAATCCAAAGAGTATTTTAAAAAAATAAACAATGTGCTGCAGTTGAAATAGTGATGTATTTGGACTTTACAGCACTGGGTTTGAATTCTGGATCAGCGGTTTACTTGTGTGAGCTTGGATAAATTACTTAACTTCTCTGGTCCTCAGTTTCTTTATTCATAAAGTAAAAGCTTTGGGCTATATGACCTCTAACATCCCTTCTAATTATTTTGTTTGTTTTTTTGAGTTTTTTTGTTTGGAGGCATTCAGGGTTAAATGACTTGCCCAGGGTCACATAGCTAGTAAGTGTCAAGTGTCTGACACTGGATTTTGAACTAGGGTCCTCTTGACTCCAGGGCTGGTGCTTTATCCACCGTGACACCTAGCTGCCCTCCTCCTTTCTCATTCTGAATTTGGGCTGCTAACTGAAATCAAACTTTCTTTTGGAGAAGTATTTAAGGAATGATGCTGGGAAGAAAAGACCACCAGCCCAGGAGAGACTTTGTAGTCTCAGCTCTGCCATTAATTAGTTATGTGGCTGCCCGGCAAATTATTTGCCTATTGTAACTCTGTTTCCTATCTTTAAAATGAGGGTGTGGGACAAGATCAGTGTTCTCCACGCTACATTCTGTGGAAGTGCATTATTCTATCCAATGTGAATTAGAGTTCCTTGAGAAAATTTTCATGGTTAGTTTTCTCCTTCAAAACATTAAATATGAATGTGTGTGTGGACCAGAAATACTTCATTTAAATGTAGAATATGTGATAATATTTGGGTGTGAAAATAAGCATTAATTTTTTGTTTCTATTTTGCCTGCAAATATCACTTCATTTATTTTGAAGGTGAGACACCTTGGAAGAGTGGATTAAAGTCTGGCTTTGGAATCAGAAAGAACTGGGCCAAAGTCCAATGTCTGATACATTCTGCTTATGTAACCAAGGGCACGTTGATTAATGTCTCAGTGCCCCAGGTAGTGCTCCAAGACTCTAGGTTACACATGTATTGCAGCTGCATCAGGGGAAGGGAATTTCCACACAGGGAATTAATTACCTGTGTGGATGAGATCTTGCCTGGGCCACTCCCTGAAAAAAAATCTAAGGGTATGTCATACTGCCAGACCAGGATTTTGGGGATCCATCCATATGTTTTAAACCTCTAGTTTTTTTGTGTGACCCTATTAGTTTGGAAAATACTAGATGCTTTCTAAGGACTCTGAGAGCTCTAAAGTTTTGTGACTTATTTTTATGAGGACTGGTGTTAGGCTGGTAGATGATACTTCTAGATGTATAAATTCATGTTCTCTTCATGATGCTTGCATACTTTTCCAAATGGGTACAAAAATTTTGTGCCCCTCCATGACATCAAGTTAAAAAATTCAGAATAAATATCCTCATTGTTATAGTTTGTCCACTGGCATAATGACTGATTTGAAACATGCTGACATTTTTGGCACAGAGATAGCTCCATCTCGAGCTTCCTTCACCCTCCCCCACCTCCACCATAGTTGGATAAAATCGAGCTTGATCCCAAAGATAAATTGCTAGGTTTTGATCAGAAAAGGTTCATAGTCCCCCAGTCTTCGCAAACACAAATCATAAGATTGAAAAGTTGTAAAGGAGAGGAAGGTGACTGGCATCCTCCTGAGAAGCCACAGAGACCACAGCCTTGAGACGTGACATGCAACCCTTAACTCAGGACTCTTGAATACTTTCTTCTTACTTAGGATAAACTCTAGTGCAAGGCATTGACAGTATTTATCTTGCTTATAAAGCTGTCGAGGTGGTGGTGGTATGTGTTTGTATACTTGTGTGAGTGTATTTTTGTGTGTGTATTTGTGTTTGTGTATTCATGTATATGTTTGTGTATTCATGTATATGTGTATTTGTGTGTGTGTTTGTGTATTTGTGTGTAAAGCTTATATATTGATTTTATGTTTAAAATGTTCATCTGCTTCAGAAAAACTTCAGAACCAGTCACTTCAGAACGTGATCCAAGTGTTTCACTTTGAAAGCTTATCAAGGTGTGAGAGAGAGGAAGCCCAACATAGGGAAACCTTTTAAAATGAAGGTTTTGCAATTCGTGTGGGAACACTGAAGTCCACTTATTCAAAGGAAATGCTGTGGTTGTGTCCATTGTGATAGGAATGGTGTAACTATAGAGATGTAAAAATGGCAACGTGTCTTTATTAATATTGTATTGTCCCAGACAAAAAGCAAGTGGTCGCCTGAGTGTCTCAGCTGACTTTTCCTGGAACATTTCCTTAAGGAGTTAAATGCAGGTGTAGGTGAACTCACAGAGATAGATGTCATTCTTAGAAACCTCAGAGATCGTCTTAGCAAGGCTGAGAAGGCTTTCCAACTGACCAGCAAGGGTGGGGGAGGAGATGAGAAAAGAATAATAATAATAATAATAATCATAACAACAACAACACACTTACGTATCACATCATGACTTGCAAAGAGCCTTATTCACAACATCTTGAGATGGAGGGAAGAAGGGCAAGGTTGTGAAGAGTGGGAAGGCTAGTCTCTAAAAAAAAAAGCTGGAGACTTTTATTTCAAGATTTGTAGGAAGAAATGACACAGGGGCCTTGATGGTTAAGGGTAGGATCAGAGATCTAGTGTTTTAAGGGACCTCAGAGATCATCTGCTCCAACCCTCCGGACTTTTCAGATGAGGAGGTTGTGACTTCCCCAAGGTCACACAGGGAGTCAGTACTAAGGGGCAGCGTTTGAACCCAGGTCCTCTAACACCAGAGCCAGAGTTCTTTCTGGCAAATCAGGTGCCGAATTGCCATGATTTTCTTGCTTTTGGTTGGTTGGTGAAATTGTTGATGTTTCTTAAAGAGACTGGCTCATTTGTGCTTTTCTGTTCCAGGGACAAAAACAATGATTCCACCGGGAGAGTGTATGTATGCTGGGAGGAAAAGAAGAAAACCTATTCAGAAACAGTAAAGTATCATATTTTCTGTTTTTTGATGATTGGCAAGAAAGTGATGAGGTTAGATAAAACTGAATTACAACCAGTTTGCTTGCATTTCTGGATAATTGTCCAGTTAGCTTCTAAGTTATGTTAGTTAATGTCACAGATTGAACCTCATTTCGTGTTTGGGATGCTTGTATTTTTTACTTTAAGTAAAGGAACCCCATTCCTGATAAAATCATACAAGTCCTATGGGAAAGAAGCATTAGTCAAGAAAGACCATTATCCCTCAGATGAGAAATGATTTCCAGATGCCCTGGCCAAGCCAGCTGAAGGAGATGGGCTTTCTCCTAATGATCTCCTGTATCACTTCTGTTGTACCAAGTAATCGTGAAACCTCATAATTTCTTCTTTTTCAAGAAAGTGTTTTAAATGAACAAACTGGTGTTTTAGTTTGTCTTCCTTTCAAAAGCCTCCCTCTGATCTGAGTTTCCTGACTGGTGGGAAGGGCAAAGACTATAGAATCAGTCAGTTAGCAAGCTTCTACTAAGTCTGGGTTTGCTATATGCCAAGTACTGCACTCAGTGATTGAGATAACAAAGTCAGAAAAAGAAAAGGTTCCTTCCATCAACAAGCTTATATTTTGATGGAAGAGACAGCCTGTACACGTGTATGAGTAAGTACAAAATAAACATAAGGTAATTTTCAGGGGAGGGGGACTGGCATCTGGAGGGGTCAGGAGAGACCTCCTAGAGAAGGTGACTCTTGAGCTGATCTTTGAAGGAAACTAAGGATTCTGAGAGAGGGCAGTGAGGAAGGGAGGGCCTTCGAGGTGTGGAGGGCAGCCTTTGCAAAGGCACAGAGGTGGGAGATGGGTAGCCAGAACATTTAGGCTAGAAACCTACTTTCCAAAGGATATTTCATCACCGACCTCTGATTTTTCTACTGTACTATAATTTCCGCTTCTTCTTCATAATAATGATAGCATTTATAAAAGTGCTTTAAGGTTTGCATAATGCTTTACAAACATTATCCCATTTGATCCCCACAGCACCCTTGGGAGGCAGGTGCAATTATTATTCTCATTTTGTAGATGAGGAAACTGAGGTAAAAGACTAAGGTAAAAGATAAAGGTAAAAGACTTGACCAGGGTCACATAGCTAGTAAAGATCTGAGACTGGATTTGAACTTGGGTTTTCTTGACTCTGCATCCAGCCTCTAGCTGCCTCCTTTTGATTTATTTGGTTTTTTTGTTTGTTTGTTTTGTTTTTTGGTGAGGCATTTGGGGTTAAGTGACTTTCTCAGGGTCACACAACTACTAAGTGTTAAGTGTCTGAGACTGGATTTGAACTCAGGTCCTCCTGACTCTAAGGCCAGAGCACTATTCACTGCACCACCAAGCTGCCCCTTCCTTTTGATTTACCTACATGTCTTTCACAGCTTCCAGGGAAAGTGGAGGAGAGAGGCAGGACATCATTAGAGGACACTGCAGTTGCTACCCTGCCTTGTTCATTACTTCTGGTGGTACTTTTATTGCTGCTCTATTCCCTGCTCTCTATTATCAGATGAGTATTTGATGTACAAGAACGTACAAGGTGAGGGGCAGCTAGGTGGCACAGTGGATAGAGCACTGGCCCTGAAGTCAGGAGGGCCCAAGTTCAAATCCGGCCTCAGACCAAACACTTCACATAAGTGTTGCCCTGGGCATGTCACTTAACCCCAATTGCCCAAAATAAATAAATAAATAAAATTAAAAATGTATATACATATATGTGTGTGTATGTACATACATACATACATATACACACATACATTCACACAAGATGAATTGGTGGGTCTCATGCTTCCCACTGCGGACTTCTTGAACATCTCTTTCTGTTGGTCAGCTGTAAGCTCCAGTGCTAGCGTGTTATTCTCTGCATTTCTTCCTGTCTGGACTTCAGCTTTTACATATTCTGAATACGCATCTGGTTCTCCTCAGGGCCAGCCTTTGGGATCATCAGAAGTGGGTCATCAAGCAGGACCCTGGTGAGCTCTGCTGGTGTGAAAGAGAGCAGTGTTAGTTATGAGATGTTGCCTGACGCATAGTAGGCGCTTGACCCAGCCAGGCTTTAAAAGTCTATACGTTGTAGAGGTTCTGGTGATGCAAGACGAGAATATCTTTATGTCTCCAGAATTTAATCTCAGCATCTTGCACCTGGCAGAGATTACATGTTGCCAGACACCATTCCCATGGTAACATCTACCATTAACCAGGTTGTATATGCCTCTGTGTGTATATTTAAAGTGTACTTTCCTCTTCTGTTGGAGTGAAGAATTTTGTGGCAGAAAGTCTGATGTTCTGTATACCCCCTAAACAATGGCAAGGATAAAAAAAAATGTTTTTAGTTTCCTTTGTGTTAAGGGTAGGTGTGGCCCTGGGGGCCAGAATTTTGAGACTGCGTTGGGATGGCCTGAATTGGCTTTGTGTTGCTGGTCAGTTAGAGCTAGAGTGTCCATGTGCCAGACGGAGAGAATACTCCCAGAAGAGCTCACAGAGGAAAGTCTGGCACAGGCATGAAGGCTCAAGAGCTTGGTGGGGGGAGGGGATAAAGGTCATAGCAGCAGAAAGTCGTAGGGCCTTTTCACTCCCTCGGTATGTTGTTGGGAGATGCATATTTCCTGAGGGAAAGTTCAGTTCATTTCAATTTAACAAGCATTTACTGACTGCCTGCTGTGTGCAAGGCAATGTGCAGGGTGCTTGAGAGAAAAAGACAACAAGCAGTACTGGATTTTTGGCATCAGAGGATCCGGGTTGCGATTGTGGATCTGCCATTTACTGTCCATGTGACCATGGGCAAATCCCATAACCTTTCTGGGTCTTCGTTTTTTATCTGTAAAGTGTGGGGTATTGGATTAGATAAGCTTTCAAGTCTCTTCCACCCCTGCCCTCAAGGAGCTTACATTTTAGGGGGTCGGGGAGAGTACATGTAAATATAAAATAGTTTAGGGGTGGGAGGAGAACGCTAACAACTGGTGGGGATCATGCAGGGCCCTAAAATCTCTGAGGATTTTATAAGAAGGAGGTGAGGAGAGAAAGCAGTCAATTATTCAGTCAGTAAGCATTTATTAAGCTCCGACTATATGCCAGGCACTGACTGGTCTAAGCGCTGGAGATACAAAGAGGCAAAAAAGAGTCCTTGCCCTCAAGGGCAGTCTAATGGGGGAGACAACAAGCAAACACATATTTAGATGCAAGCTATATAAAGGATAAACAGAAAATAATTAATAGAAGGAACACCCTAGAGTTAAGAGGAATTAGGAAAGGATTCTCAAAAATGGCAGGTTTAGATATGACTTACAGAGAGCCAGGGAAGTCAGAAGGCCGAGTTGAAGGAGGAGGGCATTTCAAGTATGGGGGACAGCCAGAGAAGATGCTGCAGGGTAACAGGCAGGAGGTCAATGTCATTGGATGAGAGGACTGGGTGGGAAGTAAAGTGTAAGAAGGTTGGATAGGTAGGAGGAGGCTAGGTTATGAAGGGCTTTGAATGCTATTCTCTATTTGATCCTGGAGGCAGTAGGGAGCCGCCGAAGTAGGGGAAGGTGACATGCTCAGCACGGGGGCAGCCAGCCTTTGCAAAGGTGTGGAAGCAAGAGGTGGAAAAGAACGTTCTTTTAGCCTTATCTCATTTTCTTTTCTGAACTTAAAATTTTTGGTTTGGTTCTGGAAGATAGCTAATTCTTTGGCATCTAAATATTTCCCAGAGACAAGGAGAGAAATGATACAAGAAGTTTCAAGGGACTATTGCAGAAAAGATGTCTTGGGTGTGCTTACAACTAGAATCGTGGTAGAGTAGGCAGGGTGGGTAGGCAGAGTGGGATATTGCCTTGGGTGCAACTCTCAGGGAAATAGAGTGAGGGGTGGGTTTTTTTTTCCCCCAAGGCATTTGGGGTTAAGTGACTTGCCCAGGGTCACACAGCTAGTAAGTATCAAGTGTTTGGTCTGAGGCTGAATTTGAACTCAGGTCCTCCTGACTTCAGGGCTGGTGCTCTATCCACTGCGCCACCTAGCTGCCCAAGTGGTATTTTTAAAAAATGACACTTTTAATAAAATTATTTTTATTTATTTCATTAAATATATCCCAATTACAAGTAAATTTTTTTAAAAAATAATTTTTGAAAATGTGGAGTTCCAGGTTCTCTTCATACCTCCCTCCTGTCCCTCCTTGAGAAGGCAAAGCAGTTGGATATCAGTTATACATGTGAAGTCATGCAAAACATATATTCATTTTAGCCATATTGCAAAAGAAAACACAACATAAAACAGATGGAATTATTATCATCCCCACTTTACTGATTTCCCCACTCAGGAAGCTGAGGAAGAGAGGCTAAGTGACTTTTCCTGGAGTTGCACAACTAGTGAGTATCTGAGGCACATTTTGAACTCAGGTCTTCCTGACTCCAGGTCCAGTGCAGAGGCAGTAAGCATCAGAGGCAGATTTGAAGCTCAGTCCTCTGATTCTCCAAACCAGGACTCTTTTCTCTGTACTATAGAGTCCACAAAGTGGTACTCCAAGAGAAGAAGGCCATGTTCTGTCTGGGGTTGAATGCCTTAGAGTTAAAAAGAAGGTATGAGGGCTGAAATGCCTGACAGGGGATGTAAGCTCTTGGAGGGCAGGAGCTTTGTCTTTTTATTTCCAAGGTTGAGGCCAGTGCTTTGCGCACAGCTGGCATATAATAAATGTTGAATAGATGAATGAATTTTCTGACATAAGGGTCTACTATACCTTTGCAACTTTCTCAAGGTGTGATGTATATCTTCGCAATCCTAGGACAGAGACAGGCTGGATGGGAGATTTTAAGGGTTAGCTAACTATTGGAAGGAGCCAGTAATTTTCCTTTATTCCATCCATGGATTGAGAATGGGTGTAAGGTGGCCAGAAGAAAACCTTGATGTCTCCCTATAGTGCTGCCTTAGAGATGGAAACTATGTATTCTGGGAGGGCATATGTTTTGACAAGTAAAGATTTATTTTTGTAAGATCATTTT